ATTCAACTGTACGGTAATGTTGGAGGCTGCAGTTTGTGGTGTTGTTGAACTGTATACTGACAGTTTCTTATCTTAGTCACCTTGTTTAGATCAGTGAGGGTGGTCTAGAAAACAGAAACACCTCTCTGTACAAGGCAATGCAGCACCACAAACTATCTCCCCTAAAATGACATGAAGTTGAATGATCACCTCTCTGCAGCAGTTCCAACAAAAAACGTATTATAACCTTAATGAAGGTAGGATTTATTGACAGTTGTATTAGACTGCATTAGTAAGAGCTAGGTAGATCCAATAAACTGGCAACTGAGTGTAGGTGAGTAGGGGTGTCCCCTACATATTATCCAATTTAACACCATATACTTCTCCAGACTTTTGTTTTGACAGAAAATATTTAATAAAGACGTATCTGCAACACTGAAAACAATATTATAATCTTTTGGGGTCTGTACCAAACAAATGTGTTTTTAAACCTGGAGAACAAGATTTGTAGGCCCTGCAGCACTACAGTACTTTATTATAATGCTCAATGCATCAAACATTTGGATCAAAAAATTGCAGCTTTTGCAATCTGAATATTGCACTTGGCCATATTGTGATTTCAATAATATTTCCATTAATTGTGCAGCCCTAATTTAAAATCAGTCTTCAAAACAACAGTTCATGTCTGTCTAGTATGACACACCCATACTTTGCCAGGCATTTTCTGTAATTACCAAACTTTCACAACCCCCCAAAATTAACTGGTACACATTTCTGAGCCCTCCTGGTCCTGACAAGGAACCCCAAACTATAAGAGTTAGCGGAGAAAATGGTGGACATGCTCACAGATGCATCCTGTTCCTACATGTCATTTCTGTGTTCCTCTTGGAGACTGCATCATAGATAGAACTCAAGAGAAACCACAGAGGCTAAAGGGGAGTGAAGGGAAATGACTATGTTCCTATTCAATGTAGGAACAGTCCAGCTCTGTAGATATACCCCTGGAAAAAAATAGCTTACCGCATGGCATCAAGAGAATTCTAATTTTGAATATATTTGAAGGAAATATTGTTCTTTGCGCTGTATTGAGCAAACATACCTGATCATTCAAATGTGTTTTCATCAGTTTCTCTTCTCCAGCAAACCATAGTTTTTATGTTTTGCTTTAGGGGAGTCTCATGCGTTTCATTAAACTGGCACTGCTGCTGGATCACAGTTGAATAAGGGAGTGGAGATGAGCTTCTCAAAAACATCACATGATCTACTCAGTACCTAAACATCAGTCACCTAAGTGCCACAGTGTCCAGCTGCAGGTTTGTCAGCCTGATCTAACCCAGTGCACACTGATGAACCACCTTTGAAATGCTGTTTGACAAGACGGACAGGAATGACACAGGAAACTAAATGCAGATCGATATAACACGTCATCGCATACTGCATACATTCTGCAGTTAAAAAGGCAATATTTTTGGGGTTCTCCCTTTGCTATATAGATCTTTTTGTGCACGTAAACTGTGTGAAAAGTCACAAAACCATCCCCCCAAAGTCCACCCCAAAGGGAGTTAGAGAAAACACTGCTCCCACACTTTGTCACACATCTCGTTTGTCTTGAGCCCTTTCTTCCGTTTCTCTATGACATCACCTATAGGGTAGGTGACAGTCCAGTCCCACCTACAGAAACCTTGTGAATCTACGTCGCTGTCCGCTATTATAATTTCCTTGTTAACGCATCTCCAGTAGCACAAACATGCGCAAAGCATGCCAATTTCTCTCTTGTTGGCTGCAAGAACCAACACAAAAGTTTTCATCTACTCCCGCCATCTGAATTAGTGAACAATGGCCAGTACAAAGCTAAGAGATAACGGGAACTGCTCTTTTGTTGGCTGCCCAATCCAGCACAAAGTTTTGTCCTCCATCATTTGAGGACCCAGTGTAGTCACTTTATTTTCAGTGGAAATGTTACAGAAATATCCTCATGACAACGGAAAAACTGGAGTGTAATGGTTCATTATACTGCATGCGCTTTACTGCACACTGCTTTATCAACGAGAGCCCGGTAACGGTTCAAGTTCAAGGATGGATCAATACTGACTGTCCGTGACCTGACTACAAACTTGGAAGCTGTAAGTTTTGCCCTGTTTATATTGTTTTGCTGTTTATTTTGCAGGTTAGTCTGTTCAACTTTTTGCATATTGCTAGCAGGCTGGGGCGATGTTGACCTAATGTAATACTGAGGTACAGTAAAAAGAAACTGTGTGAATGTTAAGTCTCATTTGAAGCCAACTAAATAACGAGCTGCAGTAAGGACTGAGCCTTGGTACATGACACCTGCATTCTACTAGGTGAGCTACCAAGGCACCCCAGGGTTACTAATGAAGATACTGAAGTTCCAATGTCATTGTTCACATCTGGCCCAAAAAAAAAATAATCTAAATGAATAACACGTCAAAGTTTAAAAACATTCTTGCAAAAGTGCCTAGTGTAGTTACTTGGTGGTCTCTGGGCCATAATGGCAGGTAAATCCCCCAAATTAACCTTGTCACTTTTACCATGTTCGCAGCATAGTAAGTCTTTAAATAGAACGGGACCTCCAAATGATGGCTGGTTACCTGCCAAGCGGTTCCAACCACAAACCCCCAAACCTCAGCAAAGAATTAACAGCAGTTGGTTGGTGGTTAGAGGTCCCGTGTTACTGAATAGGCAGCACATGGGCCCAGCACTGACACAGTAAAGAGCTCTACTGCCTGTGTACTCATGACACTGTAAAGTGCTATGTTCATATGACAGCATCCTCAAGCTGCCCATGCAAGTCTGTACTTACATCTTGAATGCAAGTGAAACTTTGGTAGGGATGGAATCAGTTTGTTTATTTGGCATTACTGTAATTTAGTAGCCTTCTGTATTCTTGCATTTTCTGGAATATTTTACTTCTACTTAAGAAAGCTGATGTGTGGTATTGCATTATATTATAAATCATATCCTGCAGAGTTAAAAAAAATGCTGTCAGTCAATACAATAAAAATAGTTAACTTAACTGAAATCACTTTAGAGATGTGGTTCAACTTCACTTATGTTTTAATATCTAAATATTACTGTTTTATTTTTTGTTTCTGATAAGGTTCACTCTGTATAAGTCTTCAAATGGCTATTTACTTAAGCAGATTTTACACCTAGCAATTTACTCCACCTTAATGCATGTTGAACATATTTCACCTTTGGAGTCTCACTTCAACATTTTTGTCTATTTCTAATATGCAGCACACACTGTAAGTAAAATGAAACAGACAATGATATGATTAACTGTGCAGCAGACACCCAGCTCTTACCTTGGGACAGCATGATGAGCAAAGGTCACTATGCTTCTGGTAAAAACCAACCACAGCCACTTCACATGATTATATGATGACACAGACTCATGACTGCTTGCTTTTTTCCCTTTTTTTTGGTGGCGACTGGCAACTGAGATTAGGTTTACAGTTTGACTCAAAAGCATGGTTACAGTGTTGTGTTACTTGAAGAGACATGCTTTTCCTGTCTGAAATGTTTACTTAGTGTTTTTTCATAGTTACAAAGAATGATTATGGTTTCAATAATATTAGTACAAATGCAAAATGTATGTAATAATGTCTCTTAACATTATGTTACATTTGAGATTTCCGATATGAAAGTCAGGTGGGTGTCGCTCCTCAATTTTTTGCCTGTGAGCATAGTTTGCCTTTTTACCTACCAGGACGCTTCCAAGTTTCTATTATATAGGCTGACCTTGACTTTGTAAATCCTCAGACAGTTGAGACAGAATTTGAGTAATCAGTTGACTTATGTGGAAAATCTGTCACTGTATGTCCAGTGCTATCATCCCTCTACATAAGAACCTAGTTTTACAGAGGGATCTTTTAAAATCTAGTGCTCAAACCAAACTAAAGCATGTTTGTGAATATTACTCTAATGGGTGAAGTGTGACTGCACTTTTCCAGTAATAGCTAATTAGCATCACCTTATTCTGTTGTTAAGAGCATACAAATATGACTAACTACTTCCTAGCACAACTAGGCTGGGTAGTTCTGTAAATCAGACTAATACACTGTGATAAGCATCGAGCCATTTGTTAAAGCTCTTTATGAAATGTGTTTGTTTCCACACTTCCTCATTTTCTGTTTGTCTGACTGTGCGTGGAGGAGATTCTCATTTCAACATTTTTGAACACAGGGCTCTGTGAAGAAAGCCATAAAGGAAATTTTGAACATTTCTAAGAAGCCTGTCGACATCCTCAAGAGCTGTAATGGGGAGCCACAGCCATTGCATAAATCATCCTTTATGTCTTTATCCATGTAAGCACTGTTGTTACTTGTTTCAATGTTATGCAATCTAAACAAATTGGTACATCCCCAACTCAAAGCATTATTGTCTCTCAGCCAGCCTATGGAGAAACTAGTCTTTGTACATTTTAACAGCTGCAAAACTTTTCATATTCCCTAAAAAGAAAATCCACAAGGGACAAAAGCAAACTGCAGAAGAACTTGTGTGAACATGTCGGACAAAAGCTTTTTTTTTATGGCTGGATCTTTACATGTTGTATGTTGACACAGGAGGCTTGGACGTTGTTATCCTGGGGGCAAACCCCCACAGTGGAGCAGCTGAAGCAGGATGTAAACTATAGCTGTATGGGGAAAAGTTACCAGTTTTAATTCCAGCTATGTACCAAATCCCCGGTGCCCCAGTTTAAATACCAAAGCGTTCACAGCCCGGAAGAGGAGAGCGACCTATTTCAATCACTGCGTGTATAATTTCTTAGGAAATAAGCAGATGTTCAGGGAAAAAACGGAGCTTTTACTGTAGAGTGCAAACCAATTACCAACCCATAAAAGCGACAGAGCTGGAGGAGTTGCTTCACTGCTGTGTCTGAGTGACTTCTACTCTCCAAACAGGGGATGACGGGTGTGTCCCAGATAATGTCATGGTGCTACACTGTGAGTAAAGTGTTACTGAAAACACAAACTGTAATGCTATGCTACTGTACATACCCTCTGCAACAAGCTCTTCCACGGTGACTTGATACCGGCCGACTGCAAACACTTTCCCGAAGTAGCTGCTGACTCCGGAGCTGGAGCCGGACCCGGACGCCCCTCCGAGCCCGCCGCTCTCGGACTTTGGCATTCTGGAAAACTTCTTCATCCTTTACTTTCTCTGTCAGTCCGGCCACCAAATGCAATCCCTGTTCGGTGGTAAATTAACCACACAGTCCAATTTAACTCGGTTGTGTCCGACGTCCCCTATCTACTTATCTGAAGTCTTTTCTTCTCCTGCATGCTCCGCGCCTGGTTCTTCTGGAGGGACTACTAGCTGTCGGGTGATACGACATCAAAGTACAGTTAGTTCATATACAGGCGTCACGGTGGGATGATACGACTCCGTCTGTCTCCCACAGCTCGTACCAGTGATGGCATCCACTCACAAATGGTCAAAAACTGTGATCGGTTCGTTAGCTAATGTGACAACACTAGCTGGCTGCAGCGGCTGCTAGCATGCATGGACTGGGAGCAGAGGTGTGCAGTCACAGGACGCTCCGCCAACAATGACAAGAGGGCAGGGGAGAAGCACAACAAGGTAGCTGGCACCGGCGTTGACAACACCAGCTCCGGTGGCAACGAGTCCCTCCCGGGAATATATCCAACTCAGCAAGCCTCCAAAAGTAGCCTCGGCGTCGTTAGCATCACACGGCGCGACTAGTTCACTTCACTCTCGCAAGAGGCTAATGTTAGTAGTTAGCCCGCTAGCTGCGGTAGTTAGCGGCTAACGATCTTCGCTAGCTGCCACAGCGGCTCCTCTACAAGACGAGCCACCCCGAGAGCAGGTGGGCTGACAAAGTAGGAGCCCACAACCTCACACACACGTAAGCGTCCACTTCTTATCAGAGACCCGGTGGAGTCGTTTTCATTAGCTTCGTCTGTGTCATCTCCACTCACCTCTGGGTCATATTCGTGGAGCTTCGCTAACGTTAAACTTCTCGTGACTCCCCAACGGTAGGCTACCACATAAGTGGGTGGTTTGTTATTTACCCAATGAGAGTGACAACCTAACCTGACGTGGCCCCGCCCACTCCTATTGTTATGATTGGTGTAAGTGGAGAAGGTATAGAAGCTTGTTGGTGCCAGGAAGAGAGAAAAATGAATTAATTTAGTTATGCACGGTCTTGCATGATATAAATGGAAAAAACACTCTAGTAAGTCAAAATGATGAGATAAAAATTTAAAAATATACACTTATTTTGTCAAAATGATGAGATAATAAGTCAACATTCTTTCTTAATACAAAGTACATCATGTTTGTACTTGAATCATTGTGATAGAAACTTGGGTTAGTTGACTTTGGGAGTTTCTAAAATTGGATGACGCAGTATCAATTAAGGCAATAGTGTTCTAACCTGACTGCACCAGATGTTCACGGGTCAACTGAGATATGTACATTATATAGATCCAAACGTACACAGAGGCAGTGTTAACTGTCCAGTAAAAACATGAACCTTTAATTTACCCTCAGACAAACCAATTTGGCAGAAAAACTATGAGATTTCAACTCTGAGACCAAAATGTATCTTCCAAAAGAAATTATATCATAGAGCTACCAGTAAGTTACCAAAGGGCTTGCTGAGATAAGACTGCCTTAGACTTTTGAGGCACTCACCTGGTAAAGCTGGTGCCCCATGTACCAAGGCTGAGTCTTTGCTGCAGCGGCCATGGATTCAAATCAGACTTGGGGCCCTTTGCTGCGTGTCATCCCCTCTCTCTATCCCCCCTTTCCTGTTTATCTTCAGCTGTCCTGTCTGATAATGAGAGGGAAAAAGCCCCTAAAAAGATTTTTTTCTAAAGGCTGTCTTAGACTTCACTTCACATTAGGTGATATGCATTGTTTTGCACAGTTTATACGCTACCTCAGAAACTAACACCTCCACCGTGGAGCCAATAGCAATGTTACTTTTTCTTTCTGCCATGCTTGTTGTTGCTTTTTTTTTTTATCATATCAAAAATAATACAGATATTTTTGTGAACAATATCCCTAATGTGTTGGTAAACAAAAATTATAACAGCCTTGAGCCTGGTTCATATTTTCCGCCTTCACCTCAGGTTGATATAAAATATATCCTGGGATACTACGTTACCCTAAGCCAGCTCCCAGGGTATTCTGGATAAAACAGGCAGAGCAAAAACTGATGATGTTTCACAGGTGCCAAGAACAAATATACAGACAAGAACACAGGCACAGAAAGACATACATTTGAATTACCAAGTCAAAATACTTTGATAGTAAATAATTTTTCTGTTTATTATTGAGTCAAAATTAAGAGATAGTCAAAATCAGTCATCAAAATCAGGACTTATGGTGAATATTTTTTTTTTCTCTTTATTGTATTATTTTCTTTTCTTGGTGGCAATGGGCTTCCATAAGAAGAGCCCAGACAATGATCATCTCTAACTGGGCGGAGAGAGTGGCAGACAGACTGAGCAGTCTGGTTGAGGAAGGAGAGCATATAACAGGCTGGAAAGAATGCAGTGCATGGAGAAATAAACAAACCTCAGGCTACACTAAACTAATGTGTTATCCTCGATCACATTTATCATCTTGTCCATTATTAAAAATCCTGATCAAAACTCTATCTTCATCTGCGTCTTTGTTCTGCCCATTAAGCATTGCTGCTCTTTTTTAGGGCATGGATTTGGCTGGTAGTTCCTCCGTGTACGTAAATTGATCTCATGTCATTCCCTTCAGTTTTAATGATCATCCGCGGTGGAAAAACAATGTAATTTTTCACCAGACACTGCCAATGAGGAAGTGGCGTGACAGCTGCCTCTGTGAACTACAGGCTTTGTGAACAAAGGCATGTGTGTAGGCTGGAGAATCCACCTCATTTCTTTCATTCCTTCATGGTCATGTCTAATGTCACCCAAAGTCACCTCTGTCGTCTATACCTCAGTTGCTTAAGGTGGAAAATGTCTATTTCTGCGGGTAACTGGTCACAATTACCATATTCAGGTCAGTGGTTATAGGGGGAGCACATGGCTGAGATGGGGATTACATAAGAGACGAGGAGGAGCAGAGAGGATCACATGACTGTATAAACCCCCATGTCTGGACACATCCTGCTTCTGCAGGGGGGAATCTTTCCTCTCTGACACACTTATTGTTGTCAGCCTGTGTTTGAGGTGTATGCTGCCACCTGTTGGTGTGTGAATACACAAATGAACACAAAAACATACAGAACATATAGATCACCAATCAGCAAGTAGATCAACAATTATTAACAAACTTCCAGAAAACTGATCTGGTTCAAGGGATGACCTCTGACCTCCTGGAAGTTTAGGGCACAGTCTCCCAATGGACGTTTAAAAAAACAAACCAAGTCATACCAACAATTAATCAGTTTTAATTAATTAGAGTGATCTGGTCCTGGATGAGCACACTATTTTCTGCCAACGTTTGAAGAGTTGTTTTTTACATGTATTTGTATTTGTGTTTTTGGCTGAGCTCTTCCCATTGGTTTTAAGTAGGCAGTGAATAGATTATACCCTGAAGATGTTTTTTATATATATATTCGAGAGCTACTTAAAATTTGAAGCCATGTTTTACGGGACTTCAGTGATGCTTTGATGCTGGTGATAATTAAAGAGTGATGAACTGAGCTGAGCTGAACTGAGCTGAGCTGAGCTGAGCTGAGCTGAAGTGACCTGACCGGAAACACCAGATGAAATATGAGGAGAACAAGTTTACTGGACCTTGAGAGGAAGTGTGCCTCGGACACATCACTCACGTACACTCACTCAATATAACAAAAACAAAAGAATACTCATAGACTATCAAGCCCTTTGCTTGGGGTCCCGGGATAAATCTTAAAGGTCACAAGAAAATTACAGGGATAATAAAGGCAGACCTGTTAAACAAAATTCTCCATTCACCTCTTTGGGCCTAACAGTTAATGTTCATGCTAAGACTATAACCGATGCATGACAAAGCTTAATTTTAAAGGGTCACAAGCCTAAAGCACCAGTAACCACGTTCCTCTTTCATCTTTGTGAACTTAGAAGTATTTAAACCCTGTTTACACCTCATTACAAATCTGAAGATCCCATATAAATATATACATATAGAATGTATGTCAAGGTGAACATGTTGATTTGAGACCATTTGATTACACTGTGCAGCCATTAAAACATTGTAGCCTGGTGTCTGACTTTTTAACTCAGCGTATTGCTTCCATGGAAGAGCTGGAGCATGCAGATACATAATAGGTTTCATACTGTGGATTAGTGGACTAACATAATCTTTCCAGCCTTAAAGCTATTTCAGGGGAAAACAGGGGAAACTTTATGTCAAGGGATTAAACCCACAGAATTTCTACAGAACCTAAGGAAGAATTCTACCAGGGAAATGTATATAAAACTATGCACAAGACATCTTGAGCCTTGGTGGAGATTTTGGAACATTATAGGTGACACAATGTGGATAGGCTTATTTCTAAATTCAAAGAAACAAGCAAAAAAGCTAGATAGAAGAAAAGATAGAAACATAAAGGAAACATTTAGGGAGGAAATCAACTGATGAAATCCCTGTCCCCAATACATCCCACTAACAGCCTTGCTTGCAGTCTACATTCCTCCTTACACACAGTGAAGCACTGAAGTGTTGGTGAGGCAGACTGGTGCTGCTCTATACTGTACTTCTGAATGGCAGTCCAGTTTATGAATGGAGACTTTTCACGAGGGAAGAATATAATTGGGGAAATTCATAGACAAGCTTAAATTTCCTGGATTCACGTCAGGAGGGATAAAAGCTCTGCTCTTGAATTCTGGTCTGTTACACTTTACACTTGGCATCACACACCAGTTTGGAGTCTGGAGCGCAGCGAGCACGGATGAACTTGGCCTACATTTCTTCTTAGTTTTCCCTTGTGAGTTTCATTTTCTTCACTGGAGCACTGCTGTGCTTCTACACAGCTCTGAGAGCACACATTGTCACCGAATATACACTCACAAATTAGAGGCTTCATGCAGCCTGATGCAAAGAACTACAGCAAAGCTATACAACAGTCTTTATTAGTATGATAACAAAGACGTCAGTCCATGTAGGGATGTCTGAGAGAATGTGATTAGGGCATGAGAAAAATGCATTAGGTCACTAAAAACTCAGTATAGGAGAAATTACTTTCAGTGCCTTTACAGAAACTGCATCTTTATCTCCCTTGTTTCCTGTCATCCCCCCACTATTACTGTCTAATAAAGGCATAAAATGTCTCAAAAATAATACAGAAATGAAGTGTGGTTTGTGACCGGTAGTTACTGATAGAACATCTGTGTCTGAGGGTAGACTACAAGTTCTCTATTTTTTTCCTGAGGCCTTAACACTGGAGTGTAAAAGCTGCATTAGAGGGTCTAGTTTTACAAAACTGAAGCAATGGTACACCACATTTTAATAAAACCTTGGGTGAAACAAAGTGAGTGCATCCTTGAAGTGAAGGATCACTTTGGTGGGTGTATATCCTATTCCAACACTGTTTGATCTGTTTTTACAGCCAGCTCTTTAATTAACCAGGAAGGAATCCTCCCATTGACCCTATTTAATGGGACAAGGCTGTAGAAATAATGGCTTATTGTGAAATGAAAACATTTTAGCAGTTCTGCCTTTAAATAGGTCTCAAAACATGGCTTGTAATAACAGTGTTTTTGAAATATCTTTTGTGCTGATAACCTATCGTGCATGAACACAAACACAGCCACACACACACACACACACACACACACAGGGGATGTGAGTGGAAGCTGTCAGAGTGTAAAGATGTATGTAGGCCTGCAGCCTCTCTTCCTGTTTTCATTCAGTTCAGATAAAGAGGGAAGGGTGGGGGTTGTTTTTTTTTGGGGGGGGGATTAGTGCAGTGCGAGGGACTCTGGGTGATTACTTTGGCTTTAATGAGGAAAACGTCTTTGCCTTCAGGCTCTCATCCACCTCAATAGTCTGTGAGTGTGTCTGGCCTGAGTTTAATTGTTGGCTCCCTGCAGGACTGAAAGACATGAAGACATGAGGTGCTGCAGAATGACGATGAATAGGGTCTGTGGATTTCATCTGGAGGCTGCAGCTGATGTGTTCTACAGCATAAGAACACACCCAGGTATTTATGAAACATTATATTTCCTTTCAGAGGATTCATGTCCAAGTCCAGGCCTTGGAGAAACTAGTCCAGGCTTTCATTTCCAGTTTATTCAGTGGTGATTTTCAGATAAAAGTACTAAATCTACTGAATCCAACCCAGTGGCAGGCATTAGGACTGACTACAAATAGCCAGTCTTCTCACTGATGGTCTTGTTGGCTTATGTAGGTCATATAGAGACACCAGGATTAAATTGAGACTGTTTCATAATTCTTTAAGAAATATGTGTGTATAATCAGGAAACTGTACATTAGTACTCAGAATGCAGAAAAATGTCCCCTGCGACTGTTATACTATTATATATTATATTATTGTTACATCATTGTTATTACTCATACGCATAAATGCGAAAGCAGGATTTTTGGAGCTCATTGTGATGGAACTCATTTTAAACTACACTTACCCAGAGCCCAAATGCTTGTTTTGTCCAACCATTAGTACAAAACTGAATACTATTAAAAGTTATATAAATTGAATAAAATGAAACATAAAGCAGCTAATCCTCATGAGAAGCTGGAAATACAAAATATTTTCTTATGAAAAATAACTTAAATGATTATTAAAATAGTTGCCAGTTAATTGATCAACTGACTAATTGTTTCAGCTGTACTTGTATAAATTGTTGGGTAGTTTAATTTATAACAGAAATCTTATTTTATAGGCTCTTTGTATGTTTTGTGAGCAAAAATGTTCTGCACTGAGCATTAAATACTTATCACTGGCCTCATATCCTGTGTTTATATCTCTGTTCTTAACATATATATTATTTTAATTTGCATTTTAATGTCTTTTGCTGTTTTTCTTTGTTTTGTAATGCATTATGTAAAGCATTTTGAATTGCCTTTGTGTATTAAATGTGCTACAAACTTTGCCTTGCCTTCCTCGAGGTTAAGAGGCAGTTCACTCTGTACCTTAGTTTGTTGACACTGAAAGCAGAAAAGCTGAGTAAGGGAAATGCAGAGGAGAAAGTTGTGGTGTGATTTGACTTTTCACTTCACCCTGTTCAGTGACTGGCAGCTGTGACGTCAGTTTTTGTTGACGTTGCCGTACTGACTCCCAAAACCCTGACAGCAGATCAGAAAATGTCCTTGAGAATCTTTCATATGGACAGACGACCTATTATATTGGAATGATTTCCACTCCAAGTCCACTCTCTTGACAGTATTACGTGGTCTTTATCAGCAGCTCGAGTTCAGATGTTCAAACCATTATTTGGAGTCCTTGTCCTTCTGTGGTGTTGGATATTGTTGGCCTGCTATGGACTGGCCACCGCCATTAACCCTTGTGTATATCAGTTCTTTCCTTATATTGTCATATTTGTATTTTTAGATTTTAGAATTCATTGTTTATATGTATTTGTGATCGCAAACTATCATAAAAAATACAATGATTGCCCACTGAGGTAATAACATTTGTGATAAAGCGCACAACTAAAGTCACATTTTACTGCATTTTCATTGAAAGAAAGCCTTTTGCACTTTTTCTCCATCTTCAGGAAGAATTGGTTTGAAAATGTGATTTTTCAGATTCCCAAAGTTACCAGTATATATATGAGACATGAAATAATAATTTACAACAACAATAACTTTGTTATTACTGTGTAACATTACATGCAATAAATAAAGAGGAGAAAGACCTCCACTTTTTGAAGTATGAGCTCTGTTTTTTTGGACAACATATGACACTTAATTTAAAAAAGTGCATGAACCCACTTTGGGGGTGAGACATCTGATATTCATCATTTTAAGTGAAAGTTCATGATTTAATCGTTTAAGGATTTGCTCCCTACAGGTGGTCTTATTTGGCCAAACAACAACCTTAGTTATGTTCTTTCCTTTAAAGGGAACCAGATATTTTTTTTACTTACGTCACAGTTTTTAGCAGCGAAAGACCTCATTTTGGAACAAAACTTTGATTTGCCAAGAGGGAAACAAGCTGAGTTTGATTCACAGCCTCAGCCTCCCCTCAGGATGCTGTCATTCTGCTCAATGTTTCCAGTATAAGACCCTTTCTGGGGGAATTAAATTACTTTGTGGATGCATTTTATTTCGAATTGGAAACAGAGCAAACATTTGAAATTAAATTACCCATCTGAGCAGCGCTTCTGCTGTTCTGATGACCAGCCTTTCAAACATATCTTACAACTAAATATGATACTTTCGACCTCACTGTTTTGTTGGAGATTTCAGTCTTTAGAAAGGCCTGTGATGTGTGTGTGTGTGTGTGTGTGTGTGTGGAATCTTTCTCTCTGCACAAGGACATCCTGCATTATTAAATCCAAGGCTGCTGCAAATGAGTCTTATTGATTCCTTTTGATTGACCTGTTCTTTCTTAATGGATGATCCTGTTTCAGTATTGTGCATTGTTTCCCATTTGCAAGTCTAGCATACTGTTTAGATGAGCTGAGTAAAGGAACCATAACAACACTGAGGTCTTTAACATTCAGTATTTCATTCTTATTATAGATTATTTATATCCATCTATTGTCAGGAAACTACAGCTCTGACCTTTGTGTGACTTTTGGCTGTTTTTATGTTCTTTTATATTACCTACGGATTTATTCTTCTAATTAGCCAAAGTCAGACAGTTTGTGATTTATGTAATCCAATAATGTCTGAAAACAATGAAATAAAATGTGAAAAGTCATATGGGATTCCGGCACATCAGATAAAAAAAAGTAGCAAATCCTGTTAATGTAATAACATGAATAAAAACATACATTTGTCTGTTAATTTAAAATAGTTAATAGGAATTTACCATATTTGTAATTGATGATGTAATATAAACATAACAGTTTTGTGAACTTTATGACATTCAGTCATTTTAATTTATAATTAGATGTTACATCCCTGATGACGAAAGGACTGTTACATTATTCAGCAGTTTGGATTAGCCACTCATTTGACATTTTATTATATTTTAAAGAGTTATTACAACAACCTGTAGATTTAACACCATTATCATTATATAGCTTAATATCTACAAAAAGTAATCAAGGGAAAGAAATAATAACCACCTTTCCTCCATCTTCATTAAAGTTATTAGTTTTCATTTTTCTACACTTCTTTTAAGTATAAACAGTAGAAGATAAAGGTACACACACAAAAATGGGTGGAATATTAAATAATGTAAAAGTGTGAGGCTATATCAATATCTATTTGTGTATAGAGACATAGTGGTGGAAGAAGTATTCTGATCCTTTACTAAGTAAAAGTGGAAATACGATAGTCTAATAAAAAGTCTATCAATGTATCAAAAATATGTATTATGCAGAAACACACCTCCCTTTGAGAGTGTTATTATGAATACTACATTCAAAATAAATTGCATCATTGCATATTATTACTTAATGTTATTTCCTAATGCACGTTATAGGTACTCTACAGGTTAGTTTAAAGCATTGCATCATATTTTATACACATTTTGTGTGTAAAATCTTAATCTGAAAATTTGTATAGGTGTCAAATAAATGCAGTAGAGTAAAAAGTACAATATTTCCCTCTAAATGTAGCGGTGTATTAGTACAAAGTAGTATAAAATAGTATAAAGTAGTATAGTTTAAAATACTCTTAAGTACAAGTGCTGGTATTTGTTTACTGCTACAATCATTAAGAGGAGTATAACACTTCTGTATACCTGCAGACATTTAAAAAGCTTTTAAACACTGTTGCTGAATCAGTAGTGCCCCCTGCTGGCGACATCGGTGGACTACCAGACTGCTGGACAGTGCAAGTAAAAATAAACAATATTCCTGGCTGTAAATAATTCAGGAGAATTTTATTATTTCTTGAAGTTACAGAGACACAAGAGGGAGATAAAAGAGCAGAGCTTATGCTATCAAATAATTGGAATCATTGTTGTTGTTGTTGTTCAAGGACGTAATCTTAATCACCCCAATAAACAGTTGATGCCATCATTTAATTATTGAATTTTGATGAGTTTTTATTGACATATTTATTAATTAGTTGGATTTTGTCATTCACTTAACAGATGGTAAATACCAAACACAAAGTTATCAAAACCTCAAACTCACTGTCAAAATATCTATCAATTATTTTTAATCCATTGGTGAATTTTTAGCCTCCTGATATATAATATAAAACAGTAACAATGATTTCCAAGACTCTTCTACATTTGAGTTACCAACAGGCAGAAGAAAAATAGCACCAATAAAGCATGAATGACGCAACAAATGCACATACAACGTTTTTTCATAGGAGATTTTCCACGTGCAAGTTCAGGAAGTAGTACTCAAAGAACTCAAATCCATTACGTAACAGTGGATCATATTTCTAATAAACTAATAATGTGTTTTGCTTGTAAAATCTTCATTTGAAAAGTAACTATAGATCTTAAATAAATGTAGTAAAGTGAAAAGAATATTTTTTTGAGAATTGTAGTGCAAAGCACAAGTGCCTCAAAATAGTACCTTCCACCACTGCTGAGAGGATAGTGCATAAGATGACAGAAATGGAAATTGAGACATGGTGAGATGAGAACATGTCGATGTTAGGACTCATCTCCTCCGCAGAGTCTTTTCATAATTCCCATTGCAATCCGACTGAAACAAAACAGAATTTTATATCAAAACTTCAGTTGACGTTTTCATGTCTCCAGACTTCTCGCTGTGCTTTTATGATTTTATATATGACGTCTTTCTTTCAAAGCTGCCTGTTGCTACAAGACTGTAAACCAGTGAGTAGTTGGTAGTTTGAAGATGAAAGTAAAGTAGAAGTGTGAGAGAACGACAGCGGGCCTACAGTGTGACTTCAAGAGGAAGCAGATTTCTTCTTGGCCTCAGGTAGACCTCAGGTGTTAGTCTTCTCCTCCACAGATGGCCTTCACACAGTCCCCGTGGTCGCCCCCCAGATCTGACTGGAGGACACAGTAACACAAGCAAGGAGAAAAGTGTCTTTCAACCGCATTGACCAGTACAGCAGGTGATTTCACTGGGTTGTTAGGAGTTTACAGAGCTGAGGTTCAGCACAGATTAGCTTCTGTTCCACTAGTTTTCAGTTCTAATGGAATTTCACATGTTTTTTTAGGGTTTTAATGTGGAAATTATACTTTTTATGTGGAAAAAACACATCAGACGCACATTATTATTCCAAGCAGACTATTTGTATATGTCCTAATACATGGAGGGGTTAATTTTCTATAAAGATAAGCACTTATCTTATAATATATGGATAGTAAACCCTGTAGTCACTTAACAAAGCCTGATCAGAAATTACACTGAAGCTAGTGGATCAGCAGTTGGCCTCTGAAGGTTTGTGTGACCGCCAACTGATGGCTGGTTACTTGTCAGAGCGGCTGGATGTGGGTTGTAATTTACTGCCTTTTTATATTTAACAACAGGTAGGTGCTGTCTTTTTCAAATCTCTAAAAAATTTGCTCAGTACAGGAAGCCAAACCCACCTGCGCAACCACAACGCAAAATAAAGCAACAGATGAAAAACACACAGTCAACATTTACCCTACGTATACTGTACGGCGTTCTTTACGGACCCATCCCTCACCAATAAGTGGTTTTATTGAGTTTCAAAAGAATTAATAAAATCCCATCAAATATTAGTGAAAGATTAATTTTGTGTAATATGAAGAGACATTCAGGAACAGCTCTGGTTATCCCATACATGAGTCTTTTTGTCTCAGTACAGTCTTTGTGTGTCTCAGAGGACCTCCTGGCTCTGCCATTATTCAAATGTATCTGGCTTCACAGATCTCAAAGCAGCTTTATTCTTCAAACTCTGATGACTCATAAATCTACAGAGGCCAGAACAAAACAGGTCAGGCTTCAGAGTCAGTCAAATCCTCTGATCACACTTCATTTTTAGTGAATTTATGTTGCTGCAAACTGTGTATAGACAAACTCTTTGCAAGGATCCTATTACTGAAATGTAATGGGATAAAGCTAGAGTTTAGAGTAAGTAGAATAAAGTCAAATCATGGGACCAAAGGTGCAGAGTATCATTATCTTTCTTGTAAGTTAAATTATTATCAAGTAAAGCAGCTCCTCACCTCGATTGCAGAGTGCAGTGAGTACTCGTACAGTTTCTTGAACTCGGCTCGGATGTCCAGCAGGTCAATCTCAGACCGACTCACCATGATCCGGTTCAGAGTTGACTCATCTGTTCCACCACCCTGACCAAGAAATTGGCAGTGAAGACACACACAAGCAGCTATCCTTGTGAGGACATTCCATTGACTACATTCATTGTGGACAGCCTAACCCAACCACTTACCCTAACCTCAAGGACTACTGGTCCGGGCTCACAGGGCAATAACACATTTTACACTTAAATCACGTACAGAATTTATCCTGCCTTTATCTTACGTTTTACTTTTCGCTCTGGAATATAAAACTAAACTCTTCTGCCTCAAACATTAGCTATTTCTAGTCGGTGAACAGAGGAAGAAACCACTATGTGAAGGGTTTATTTGAGAGGAAATACATTTGTATTTAACCCATTCATTAGTGTTCCTGGATAGGATCTATGGGGTGGGTGGCTGGAGTGGGGGACCAGCGTACATTGCTGTCTGCAACAATAGCTGAGTCTCAAATTCATACTACGTACTGATTCTAGGCACGTTTTCAGTATGTAGCGTGTTCACACTGGCAAAGTGACAAAATGAAATATACTCAAATCAGAAAGTATGCATACTAAAAAAGGCTGATTGTAAAGTGCGCCGTTGATGGACAATATTCATAGCTATGTATTCATTAGTGTAAAATCACCTGAATATAGGAACGATTATGTTTTTGTAACCGCAGAATGAGCTGTGTTTATCTACACTGTGGGTATTGAACTACCATGTTTCTACCGTAGCGAGTAGAGAAGCGAATGTGTTGCAATCTGCAATTACCTCGCTAGATGCCACTAAATCCTACACTCTGGACCTTCAAATCTTGTGAAGTTTAATGGACAGTAGCGTTCCAAAGTCCTTTCCTGATCATATATAATGATTAAGTATTTTGACATTATTGTATACTAACTGCTACAACAGTATGATGATGTATGCATTATGGATTTGGGATTTGGGGTAGTATCGTTGGGAGGGAATTCTAAGTGTTGAGGCTTAAAATGTCCAAATAACCGCTTCAGTTGAAGTTCAGTAATAGTTCAGCAATGATACTGCTCAGCTACAAAAGGAAGACATTTCTTTTAAAATTCTCTCTGCTGAACAGCTTCATATTATGGGCTGCACCTCCCTACAGTTAAAATATCCACATGAACTAGATATTGTTTATTGCTTTCCATGTTTGTACAATGATCTGCAACTGTGAGCACATGCAATAGAAACTGTATATTCACCTTCATGCTCTCATACAGGCGCTCTGCAAAGTAGGCCGGCACGCTCTTCACACATTTCACTGGAGGAGAAACAACAATGTGGTTAAAACAGTATACAAAAGATTGAAGTTTATCTTTTCCTAGCAGAGAAAGAGAAATCCATTTTAAAATGTACAGTTTTGTTGCTCAATATTTATTATATACCATTCTATAAAGCCATAGTCAACAGTTTTCAAATATCTAACAGACAGTAACTCTTTACATGGGAATATTCACTACATGACCAAAAGTATGTGGACACGCTACCATTACTCCAATATGTGATTGTTGAACATGCAATTCCAAAAACATGGGCAGTGATATCCGCACTCTTCTGTAAAGACATTCCACAGGTTTTGTTACTGAACTTAACTGATATACACACAAACACACACACACACAATACTACTATATTAGTTCTAAACAGCATAGTAATAAGCACAGTAACCTACCGATAGCCACCAGTAGTTCCTCCAGCTCCCCTGACATCTCTCCTTCAATGCTTTGCTGTAGAGTCTTTCCACTGATGTTTTTGTATTCAACAAGAGCTACACAAAACAAAACAAAGAAAAAGTCTCACTTTACATTTCCAGTTATTCCAAACTGACCATCATTTGTAGAACTTTATTTAAGACAATGTGTATTAAGCATGGTGTACTTTGTCTCAGCTGAGGTATACTTCTTTGGCAGAGGATGTCAACAAATTTAGATTCATCCGTGCCCCACTTCTTCTCCCCAGCATCATAAAGAGTCTGGGTATTGAAAAAAATAAAATGGTTAAAAATATATTTACCATAAAGAGATACAATTTATGGTAAGAACAAACATTTTCCCTATGAAACAAATTCAAACATGCGTCATACTGCACCTTGGCGTCTTCTTTTGCCTGCTCAGTATCTACTGTGGTGCCGTCGTCCCTCTTGCCCTGGAAACAAAAGCAAAATCTTAATTTAAATAACATCACACTCATTTACATACTGCTGTGCAGACAGGAATTGTTCAAACCAACAGAACTTGTTTATTCCCCACATTGTTTAGTGACTGTGATGACAGTTGAAATGATGATGTGGTGAATGGACTTTATTTTGTACCTGCACGGTTTACCCTCACCACTATAGATAGGTGCTCTTATTTTTGTCATGTTTGCTTTCCCACCTTTTCTTTCTTTCTTAATGATTATTTTAATTTTACCTTATTTTTCACCTTTAATATTTACGTATTTATTTATTTTCCTCTATTTCTCTTTGTGGAAAAGATTAAAAAGGGAAGGAAATGTGATATGTTATATGTATATGTTAATCCAGACGGTACTCATAGTACTGTAGGTTTTACTTCATCATCTCTCCAAGTAACTCATTTGATCATTTTTATGCACTCATCTCTTCATATTGTGCATCACAGATCGTATGTCAGTTAAGTTCATTCTGTATATGTATATTCTTTTATATTGTAATGACAAACTTCAGCCAGGAGGAGCAGCGCTGTGGAAAAGTCTCCGGAAACTTCATCCTTCAGGTCAAGGGTCAACTTTTTCTCCGTTTCTGTGGAGGAAAACATCCAAGACTCATAATTCGGATGTTTGAAAATTTTATAAATCATAAAACAAGAAATTCACACTCAAAAGGCCAGTTCGACCAATGCTTTTGGATGGACTGTCATCCTCATTACATTCTTAGGAATTAAAGCTGTTTACATTGTTTACCTTGTAAATAGACATCACAGAGAGCTGCGATTTGTTCATTGGATCTGGAGGCAAAGATTTCAATCAGGACGCTGTCTTCTGTCCCAGCTCCCTGCAGCATCGTCACACAGTTAATATACCACTGAACTGCATTTACAGCATCAAACCAACAATGAGGTTAAACCAAGAGTTCACTGAAAGGCCACATGGAGCTCTGCTTCACTCTAAAATACATCTATGGTTTAAAAAAATATATACATAAACAGACAAAATAAATGCTGAATGGAAATCATGGGATTCAGTTCTACTAACTACAGCTATATTGTTTCATTTGTACATGAAAATTTGTTTTGTGTGCCTGAATATTAACCGTACAGTATATTCGGAGCTTGTAATTTTAATCCAAAAGGTTAAAGGGATTTTTGAAGTAGGGTTATGTGGTAGTGTAAATAAATTTATATTTCAAGTTTGAACTCGACTGGACCAAAGTTATATATTATTTCAGTTCGACTCTACAAGCTGAATGTAACATATTGTTATAAATATCTTTCTTTCCTCTCATACCAACATTTATTTGTAAATTATAAAATAAAATCTGAGAGAAAATGACAAAAGTAAGAAACTGACTTTCATTGCCCGCATCACTTCATGGCAGTCGTACACTGCAGGAGGGGTGACGAGCGCCACCAGCACTTCCTCAAAGTCACCATTGGTGTCCCCTTCCAAGTCCTCCAGTAATGTCTATAACGTAAACAAAGCATACTCATTTTCATGCAACACACAACCACACCCATGCAAATACACCCAGGCCTCTGGCCTACAACCAAACCCAGACTGAGTCACACAGACACAGTGGCAATTATTTCTCATGTTAATGCTGCACAAGATGATATCTTAATATAGAATCTGTTGGAAATTAAATCAAAGAATGTGCAACAGATAATGGTTGAAAGATTCACAAATAAAAATAATTACAGTTACACAGAAAGTAATAAGCTGCAACTGTAAATGCAAACTAGATTCTTTTATTGAGGTAGGTCAGTCTCAGTTTTGTCTTTTAGACTACTGATTATGCAAGTAAGAGAGTTTATAAAAAAAGAAAGACTCATGTTACGCCTTACATTTATCAAGACTAAACCCTGGCTGCAGTAACAAGCTAAGAGCTGTGTTTCAATGGTAACAAATCAGTAAAACATGCAACGAAAAAGAGAAAAACTAGGCTTCTGGCTTATATAATAATAATAAATAATAATCCAAAGTAATTATTTAACCTTAAAGCAGACCTCACCTCATCACATCCACTGTAATATTTCCCATGAGAACAAGCTCCTGTTTCAAAAAGGTTCTCATGAAGCAGCAAGGAACTCTTTTTCTGAGCTTATGAAAGACTTTGAAAGAGTGCTATGACGCTAGTGTACTGTAATTCACTCTCTGACAACAGGGGTGATCTTACTCTGCCAGTGGCTTCCTGATAAGCTTCACAGATGAGCTGCCTCTGAGCGCTACTTCTATGAGTCAGAATGTCAATCAGAACCTTCTCTTTGGTGCCTGCAACATTTTTTAGGAAGAAACACGAGGAGGTGCATTAATAAACATGAAAGAGGACACCATAAAAGAAATGTAACAACAAAAGGGATAAACAAACGGAATAAATAAGAAACAGACATTTTTGCCACGTTAACTCCAGCTTTCATCAATCTAAACTTCTGTCTACAGTCATAACATGTGCTTTGAGCTGAATTTGAAAACGTGTCCCTACAAAGAGAGTCGAAACTACTGATGCAGTAAAAGTAAGAAAAACCTTGTTTTGTCTGGCTGGCAAAAACATAACAGAAAGAAAGGATGTTATTTTGATGTTATGCCATTATATTATTTCTTTATATGCTGAATAAGAACTCAAATAAAACAGGACTACACACATTTCTGATTATGGCCCATGGGGATTCAATGTAATTCTATTTTGTCTAGTGTGTTTGTGTACTGTTAATATTTACATTTAAATCACTAAAATAAATAAAATTACAGTTACATTTGGGATTTAAAGAAGCTTAACCTTAAGTGACTTTATTTAGATAAGTTAGGATGGCAGTTAGCGCTAACTACTCAGCTAAGCTAGTTTCCGAGCTGTGTATTTCCCATTATGATTCAAATGTCTCATTTAGTTAACGTTATATCAAGATAAGACGATGATTCATCAAAATGTACAAATCATATATATCATTTATTCAGTTACAGACTACAGATAGGGAAAGATTAGTAAATGTAGTTTTACCTTCACCTAGGCTAGCCATAGCTATAGCTATCTCTCTAGTTTTATCTCTCCTGCGTTACCGTTAGCTGTCTCTTCGTGACTACACGCTCTCTCACAATTTTAGGTTATAATAAATTTTCATACGGCAAACAGATGCCAAAGACTTCCGTTTTAACTCAGTTTGGACCAAATATGTACTCACTGTTACTGTGTTTTGGCTTTGTAGGGATGTGTAGCTACTTAATGAGCTAATGTTAGCGCGTTAACATCCCTACACATACTGTAATGTGGCTAACAGCTATTTGATGTTCAATTAACAGCTAACGATTAACAATTAGCATGTTAGCATTACAATATCAAGATTTTACCATGTTCATAGGTGGCTATGTGGCTAACGTTGCTAAATTAGCATTAGGGTTAGTTACTTATCTAGACAGCTGTTCAGTTTTGCTTCCTTGTGTGTTTAAAAAAGTGCCCCAAATCAAAATGTATGATTATTATTATCATTACATTTAGAATATTAGCATCGTATGCATACTAACATACTGTGTTAAACTCAACAACAGAGACTGGAGGTAATTTGGTTAGTTTTAGAGATATCTAAATATATGTTCATTAGTGTATCCTGGAGAGACTATCTTTATACATTATGATATGTGTGTGTGTGTGTGTGTGTGTGTCTATTTGTACCAAGTCCTTCAATGGCCTTCCTCAGAGCCTCAGCATCGTCTCCTGCATCAAAGTCAGCTTTAGGCTTGATGGTTCCTCTCTCTCCAGTCTGAAGAACACAGTGACGTCCGTCGGTCAGTTTGTTTGGTTTTTCCTCTCATTTTGTTATTTGTGCAATAATATATGTCACAGAAAGCCTCAAGTCAGTGTGAAGATTCAGTTGGACTTACTTTTGCTGAGAAAGAGGAAGGGGTATTCACAAGACTGTCCAAGTCATCCTGCAAAATGTTTATCAGCTGTGTTTAAAATCTATGATCAGTCACAGCGTTATCATAAACATAAAAACAGAGAACATGGCTTACCCATAAAGACGTCATGATGACAACAGGAAGTTCCTCTGTTGAAGAAAAGCAAATACACATTCACAGTTAAACGTTCTTGTTGTTTTGTCCTTTATGGTATATGAACACCTCTATTCTCAAGGTATTCTCACCAAACTAATGTCATTAAAAAGCACACATATAAGTGTACATATTATAATGACTTTACAATAGCAATCTTTTGTGTTTATTAAGCACTATGGTGTCAGTTTTCCCTAGTTCTAATCTAATGTCCTGTGTGATTACTTAAAGTAAGAGGGCACAAGAGGGCACAAAAGGGAAGAAGTGTTGAAATAAAATTTGGTGATTAGTCGAAGTCTTGAGAATAAAGTCAGAACTCTGATGTTGTTCTTGGGTCCCCAAATCCCCAAATTTACTCTCAGTTCAATGCTAATTTTTCAAAATATAGCCTAACTGTGCTGCTGGGACATTTGGAGATTTTGAGGCAGGTACATGAAAACTGAAATCTTTACAAATAAAAAAACAGAGTAATCACGTCAAGTTTATTGCTGATTCTTTTGTCTACATTCTGAAGTTCAATCAACTCTGTCCGGCTGTAAGTTACTGAAATCGTGGCCTTAAAGCACTTTTGGGTATTTTCTTTTTTATAGGATGTGGATATATGATGTCTCACAGTAGCTGAACAATATCTCACTGGCATGTCTGTGTGGCACCTGTCAAAATGTACTACAGGATTTAACATCCTTGTAATGCTGACACATCTATATTTGCCTATTTGATCAGCTGTTCTGATGAATGTAAAGTAAATGAACCATTCAGCCTCAGTGAAGCCTCATTACTGCAACCAGCTGCATTTTTATATCGCTTTCAAAAAGTAACACAGAAAAATAAAATCAAGAACTACTTTTTAATTGATCTGAACATAATCAAACTGTAAACTTGATATCATAGACAAATAAAGAAGTAAAGACACCAGAGGAGATTTAAACATATCCCAGAGGACTCAGATTCACAGCACACTCCCTACAGGAAGACTACTGGGATTTGCAAATAAAATATATCATTAAATATGATCAACTTGCTGTGAAATTTAAAATAAACATCACAGATCAACACTTCCTTAAGTGAGCATAATGAAATACAGAAAGCTTTGCTCAGGTAATGACGGGTTCATGAGAAAATCAATCCTCCACTTCTGCTTTAAACTATTAACTCTGCTACTCCAAAGAATAATACATTACTACACTAACAGTCAAACACAAAATAAATGCACTGAAAGATAAGAACTGAGTTAAAGAAACCACGGAAAAGCTCACCTGGATTATGTTCTGAACCGGAAAAGCGTTTCCTCCACACCTTCAATCTCTGTGGACACTGGAAATCTACCTGAAGAGTCATCTGACCACGCCCACTCTGTGCAGGCAGGTGCTGCCTTCAGGGGCGGCTCGTATTTATCACATATCAACGTGTAGAAGGCCTGCTTCTGAATATAATGAGAAACTGTATAATTTCTTATTATCTGTTGGCCCATCCAGTTTTACATCACCCATCAGATTTATTTGGCTTTCTTCTTTTTAAAGGTATGGGGCTTTTTTTCCTCTTCTTATTTTTACTTGAACTGTTTGCTTCAACTGGTCATGCGTTTTGTAAACTTTACGATCATTTCTAGTGGCATGTTTTCTGACCAGTCCAACATGTTGGTCCAGACTGAAATGTCTCATTGGATAGATTCCTGACATTTACTCACTACTGTATCTTTGAGGTCTGACACACAAGTCAAGTGCGTTTCCACCCTCATAAAAGAGTTGCAAAGGCAATTCTTTTTCGTATTTGAAATTGTTTACATCCATATTTACTAGATTGCAGTCTTTGTGCATCCATCAACCTCAGCTGCAGTTGCAGTACAAATTAGCAAATGTTAATGCTAACCCACTAAACTAAGATGGTCAACCTAGTGAACACTAAAGCTACTAAACATCAACATGGTAGCATTGTCTTTGTGAGCATGTTATCATGCATTAGCGTATATCACTACCTTAAAGTGGTGCTCACTGTTATTGTATTGAGTGTCAACTTTCTCTGTTCCAGAACATCCCATCCTATTTAGATTAGCAACACTAGCAAGTGCCACAAACACTGACACTCCACATGTACATCACATGTACAAAAATGTTAAAATATTTGTAAAAAATCTTATCTTCCAATCTTATTAAATACATTAACTGAAAAGAATCATAAATAATAAACATGAAATACAGAACAATTGTGGGTTTCAGCATTTTTTATTACTAAAAAGGCACCAAATACAGGCATCATGTTGATAGCATTGTAGTTATTTTCCACAAAATGATAGCACCAAAAATATATTGTTATTTCCCATAATTTCCTGTTCTTGTGTTGTTTTGATAGGCACAGAGTTGAAAGAGAACAGGAATTGGGATCAGAGAGACAAATGGAGAGAAACATGTCAACATCTCACATGAGAAAACATTTTTTTCTTTTGCAGTGCTCTCCAACCAATGTCATACACTTATTACAAAAAATTACAGTAACTTTAACATCATAGGTACATCAGTAGCTGAGCGTAACATAATACATCATAAGAGGGTAACATAATAATACATAAATGAGAAAAAAAAGAAAATTGAGCGAGATGTGAGCCCGTGTAAATAAAAAATAAGTGATGAATTTTGTGTCTTTGGGTGGAAAGAAGGCAGGTAGACACACATCTCTTTAAAAATACATCATTTAAAAAAATGGTTATTTTCATTAGAACAGTAGTAAGGCTAATGCACTCAGTCATGTGGACGGGATCGAAACCTTTGTTGTCCAAACGGTGGCGTCTGGTTTATTACAATCACATGGAAATTTTCTCACTCTTGAAAAAGAAAAAAAAACACTTTGGATGATTAGTTTTGAAATTCATGAGGAAAAATACTGCATGGCACTTAATATTGGCAGCTGTGTGTACAGTACAAACAAAAAAATATGTTTTTGTGTTGAAACAAGAATAATTATCTGTTTGTTCAACTTGACAGTACAAATGTCTCTATGTAAGGCTTGAAATACAAGTTTCTTTTAAATGCAAATAAAGTTCCTGCTCATGAGGGAAGGATTAACAAAAGCTATGGCATAATTGCACTTGAATAGGTATCATTCATTTTTGTTATTATTTACACTCTGCACTCATTCGCCCTCGAGCGATAGCAGCACACTCTATGTGCTTAATACTTTCACAGCAGTCAGAAGCAGCTGTAGCTGGTGTACAAGTCGCTCCACAGGAAAATTCAACTTTGTTCTGTTTAATCAGAGTCTTTTGAGTTAATTTATCAGCAGAAACAGTAAATGATAAAGATATATGCAGAAAAGGAGGACTTCTACACTGGCTTCCACTCTATAGTAGTGACATTTAGTAGCAGTGAAATGACTCAATGCAGCAGAGAAGTGTTTTTGTCAAACAATCACCAGTGTCTGAGCTACCAGTCACCATCTTGGTGCTAAAAAGGACGTAAATGTCAAGTTACACAGTAATGCAATGGACAGCAGTTTCAGATGGAGTTTGGATGATCAGATGCAGATGTTTTGGCGGTTTCACGCAGCTGAGTGGTTTTGTGGATTCCTGAGGTAGCCCAGTTGCAAAATGATTAAAACTCTGCGTAGCTTTCTGCATGTCTCACTCTTCCCTTTTTCAAAGTGGTATAAAAATACATTAACAAACATCTCGTTCCATAAGTACAAACTTTCTTTTAGAAAATACCTTTTTTTCCGTCCTGCTCCTCCTCTCCATCTCCTCCTCTCCTACTCTTCCTCACCAGTGTTTCAGACCTCAGTGCCGTCGTTGAGGTTGTTGTGGAGTTTGACCTCCAGGTTGACCTGTTTGACCTTGGCCTTGCCGTTGGGCTCCTGGTTGCGGTTGAGGATATTGACGTTCCTCACGGTGCAGTGTTTGGTGCTGAAGTTCTTCTCCACACACTTGTCCATGCACACCTCCACCTTGGTGTTGAGCGGGTACTCCTCGTACACTTTCTGAGCCTTCTTGCTCTTCTTCTTGGCCGACCGTCGGCAGCGGCGGAACAGGAAGCAGGAGGCCAGCAGGACCAGGACCAGTAGGGTCACGGCGGCCACTCCCCCGCCCACCGAACTGCCCACGTGGGCGTTAAAGGTGGCAGAGGGCCCGGCCTCCAGACGGAGCGACTTCATGTTGGTACCGTTCTTCACCTGGTCGCCCTCGTTGTCGTAGATCAGCGACTCATCCAGCGTCAGGCGCCCGCTGCGATCCACCAGGTCACGCTTAGGGCGGCTCAGCTCATACGTCACCGAGCGCTGAATCCTGGGACTGGACCGTGACTCTGGGCTGATCACATAAATCACCTGCAGGTACCACTGGTGACCCGCCTCCACCTGTCAATCAACAAAGAGAAAGAATGAAGGCATTAGCTACTGTACTGAATGAGAGTACCCTTTATTTCTGGAACCAGGATTCAACTGAATTCTTCTTTTAAAAGTCATGCTAAAGACTTTATGTTTTGACATCTGCCTGTTAAATTAATGGAATAACAACATTAGATGTATTAGATAGTACTCCATAGCATTGCACTCCTAATATACTGTCAGACTCAGTATAATAATACAAATCGATGCATTGAATCAGAGAAAGCCTGGCGCCTAGTTTACCCACAATGCAATTCGACTGCAGACAGTTCCATTAGTAGCAACTTATGTAGCTTTGAGCCGCTGGCCTGCAGCAGAGATAGGGACTATTCATTTTCAAACTTGTAGTCTTCCAACCCAGCTGATGCTGACTCACAACACTTTGGGACATTTATTAATACTTTTATATCTGAATCAGACTTGTCTCATTTGCTCTGGTCTGACTGCCACCCATGACTTTAAATTAGGTTATAAGGTTTTTATGCCATCAGCAATATCTCTGATTGGTGGGATCTCATAGAATAGATAAATAGTGGGAAGTTAGTGATAAAAGGTGTGCGAGCTTTTAGCAGTTAGTTCCCTATGAAAAATACATCTATATGGAACCGAATTCAGGAAGGAAATGTTTAGAGCTACGTCCATCAAATCACTCAGGGACTGAACGAGACCAAATATCTCACAACAGCAACACTGTAATAATACATGGAACAGATGAAGTGCAGGTAGTTCTACACACCTTGTAGAGAGCATCAACCTTCATTGTAAAGCCATCAACACCCGGCATGGCTGTCATGGACTGCAGATCTGGGATGTCTGAGGCTAAGTGAGCCTCGAAGGGAACATCGTGGAAAAATTTGTCACATACGTCAGGTTGTTTACGATCCTGGAAAAGAAAATAATCAGAGCACTTTAAACTGAACTTATGTTCCCAAGAAAGTCACGTTGATTCTGTTTCCATAAGTAGGAAGTTACAAATGATTTTGAAGTTCAACCAATGGCTGTACATTCAAGACATTGTGTGACACTTAATAAAGAATTGTCTGCAATACAGTGTAGATGCAGGACATATGCATTAAAGTGCAGTTTCTCAGCTGCTGACACAGTGCAGTATTTCTGCTACACATAATGATGGTCTGTTAAAGACAATTTACATGGTGAAGAATGTCAGTGATTTAAATAAACCACAGGTTTTGAATAGCTCCAAAAAAAACCTGGTCCCATCCCACTGAGAAGTGGGAAGATCTATATGGGTTTGCGTGTTTGTGTGTGCATGGGGGGGATGTTAGCCTGCTGTGTACAGGCATAACAATACAGGAAGACATGTGAAGCAAATACTGTACATCAAAAGAAAACCTGAGGTGCTTTTTCTACTTGAAGGTTAGACTCATACAAAAGGTAGATTTAGTGGATAGTTTCTTATTATTATTTCTTATATATATATATATATATATATATATATATATATATATAAAGTATATTTGATCATATTTTGTAACATAAATAAACTATTTATATTTTCGCTGTTTTCTTTAAATGCTCTTACATATAACTCCACATCTGCTGTGTCCATTTCACATTCCAGCAAGGAGCGAGAACAGTTTTGCTGTTCAGACCCAGAGCAATACACAAACTGTTCTTATACTGATGGAATTAAGGTTATTAAAATGTATATTATATTCATGACAACCGTTTTAGTGAAAGTCATTTTGTTTTATCCTTCTTTTTTCACAGCCTTTACTTGTTTAAACAGACCTTCAAATAATGAGCAGGTTTCACATAATAGCTAAAGCGAGAACACTGGTTCTTGGGAGGCTAATTGGTAACAGTTCTGAATCCTTAATATGTTTGTATTTAATATTTATATGACCTTGGTAATATTTTGCCCCAGGTAGGTATTCATAACATGCATTTTGAACAATGCTCTTTAAGCATTTACCACAGACCAGAGTAAACAAAAGAAAACAAATAT